GGATGGCAATCATCAGACTTGGAAGTACAATACAGTGCGCAGTAAGCATAAGTGTACCTTGGAACCGTCATCAACACAGGGAACATGTCAGTCGGGAAGCGCAGGGTATGGAACACTATGGCAGTCCAGAAATCGACGTTCGCATGAAGACCTCGCTAGATCATACAAAGATTAGAACTTCTGGAAGGTCGAAAGCATTAAGCATCAGTCAGCATACCTTTATGAACCATTCATCAGCGCCGGCTGCCTCTTCCAGGGCAATAGCGAGATTGGCGATATGATCTTTGCCCATGAGATCAAATAACTGGGTACATGCTTTAGGACTCTCAAAAAGCAACTGAAACTGAAGAGGATCCTTTATGAACCAACCTGGAAAGCCATCTTTTTCGCAATCCTCACCCGGGGATCACCATGTCTGTAGACGCGATGTCCAAAGCCCATGAGACGAAGCGGACGATCAGCTCTTTGTGTGGGACTGACCCCGACGGACGAATCTTTTCGCTTGACTTTGGTCAGGAACAACTGGATCTTCTCCACTTTCCCGATCTGCTTCAGCATGTCAATAACCTCGGTTCTACATACAACGCGCATCAGTCTCATGTATCAGAAATCGAATTTGGAACTAGCGAGCTCACGCTTTCCGTTCGCCGAATAGAGCTCCGGCTGCCCCTGAAAGCGCCGTGTACGGATCCACCCCCGAGGACATGAGATGGCGCATCATTACAGTCGAGCAGTTGCTTCCGTGTTCTGTTAATATAAATTACGTTCAGCAAGTCTTGCACAATAGGCTTTCGTTCACCATATTAGTCGGACCTGCCAGCAGTATGAACATGGTATCCAGAATTTTGACCAGCCGGGGATCTGGCTTATAGTTTGGCTCGTTGAGCTGCAGATGTGGCGAGTTGTTAGTGCTTACTGGGGAAACTCATGTAGCAGAGCCCAGGCATACTTTGTCCATCATGTACAGTATGTTCTCGGTATAGTTGGTGCTGTTTGGCATGGGGTGATTGTATGGCCTTCCAAGCCTATGCCGGTAAACGTTGGCCGCGATGGTGGGAACTTTCCCAAACATTCTGAAGACTGCTCGGTTCCGGGCAGCGCGAACATCTTTCGCCTTTTCTTCTTCTTGCTCAGTCATTTTTTGCCCTGCAGCAACTTTTGGAAGCATGTATAAATCGAGGCCTCGGAGAGCAGGGTTAGCCTCCGGATGGAAGGTTGATAGAGAGGCTATGGTCGAAATCAGCATTCCATGAGGATGAGCATCGTATCGGAATGTCATCATCTGGAAACCCTGGAAGGTAAGAGACTCCCACATCCATCCGGGGACAGCGATGATTGATAGAGGATAGATTACCAACCTGCTTTTCGAGCTCAGAATGAACATAGGTGTGAGTCATGACTGCGTCTGCCCAGTGCTGATATTCATCAGCTGTCGGGAGCTCTCCATAGACAAGAAGGAAAGCAACCTCCAAATAATTGCTCTTCTCTACCAACTCTTCCACGTCATAGCCCCTGTAGAACAGTTTTCCATTCTCCCCGTCAACGCAAGATACTTTCGAACGACACACAGTGGTGTTTTTGAATCCTGGATCGTACAAGCGAATCGGGACCTTGTCATTGGGATCGTCGGCAGGAGGGACGGTAGGCTTTATCTTCAGCTGTGCGAAAGCAGTGCCAGGAATCGTGTTGGTCTTGGGATCGATGGGCACTCTGATGGTTGTGTTGGTACGAAGGTCTTTCACCGTTAGATAGTTGGTATCAGCATTTTGTGTCATAACTGCAGCCATTCTGAGCCTGACCCCGACGGCTCAATGAGAATGCGGGAGGGTTGTGGGAGGGGGCTGTATTGCTGATATGGTCGAAACAGCTTTCGGAGACGCAATAGCCCAGAGTCAGATGCCGCTCTGTGTCATCAGTTGACCTTTTTAAGGTTCACAGGTGCATTCTTGGGACCGACATGTGACTGGTCTTCAGGCGATCCTTACGGAATACGCGCCATGCGCCCAACATCATTGTAAGGTACTTTAGATGTTTGCAATCATGCATGGAGATAGATTATTAAATCTAGCGTTTTCATGTCTTTTCATCCTTTATTTTGAGAAGATTTCAGGAGATGAACACGAATGCCCACTCCCACCAACAAAAATTATGCCCCCACGCCGCCCCCAAAGGGACGGGTGAGCAAGGACCCTCGAACGGTTGTGCAATGCCGAGAAGTCCTCACCTAGGTCTGCCTTGTTGATCACAGAACCTATGGGCCAGGTAAGTATGAAGAAAAAGGAGGGGAGTCGGGGGACGGCCGCTATTTATAAGAATTTGGACCGGTGGCTGTGCAAGAACACGGCGGCGTATCATTGGCTGGGGACCCAGGCCATGTGCGCACTGCCATGCTGACTGCCGCGCAGTCGGACTTTGCCACCCACTGCTGCGCGCGCAGTAGACAGGGCAAACAAAGAGGACAAATAAATTAGCACTGCCATCCCATCCCGTCGCCTGCCTAAAGGTTTTCATTATGGCGATGTGATCGGGGCTCGTTTGACAAACGGTCGACCATTCCTCACTCCGCATTCAATCACGTTCTTCCCGATACAACTCCTTCAATGTCTCCACCGCGCTGCATACTCCTGTCGGGAGCTTTGATGCGCTCCAGAAGCGCTCTGATGCGGCAGCCCGTCTATACGAAGACCATGGTAACATGGTCGACACAAACTCTGGACAAGGCTGCTGCCTCAGGTCGCCTGTACACAGCCTCTTGCGGGACAAGGAGCGGACTGAGGCGTGAAGGACGCAGATACATTACTGATACCAGGCCTGAAATCCTGAACTTTCGACAATCGAACACTGCCTCGGAAGAGGAAATCTCTGAGGCGGACAAACCTGCTGACCTCTGGCGAAAGGACCAGGTTGTCGAGGAACTCTTAGAAGATTATCCGCTCGAACTCACCGGATGGACACGGCGTGGGTGAGGGAAAGCGATACCCGCTGATGCGCTAAGCAGTGTGTAGTGACTTCCGGATTGTTCTAGGCCGTTTGACCCTATTCCCTCGTGGTGGCCTTGGATCGAGCGCACATTGTTGGGTCCTGCTAGAAGAAGCGTTGCGCGAATGACAGCATGGGTAAAATAGCAGTATTAGGCAAATTCTGAAAGATATGGGAGACTATAGTCGCTGATATGTAGTTCATTTCAGGGATGGATGGAAGCGCGGTTCGAACACCTTGAACCTTCTGGGTCAACTGAAAAGTATTTCCCCACGACATTTGCCAGTGGTACGCGTGGAGCGTTCTCGGCAATGATATCACGATTGTCAAAGTGGGATGGCACAGCAAAAAATGATAACGGGTTACGGGAGATGCTGGACGACGAGCTATACGCGCGTTTTTGCGATCAGCACTCGTGGATGGAAGAAAATGGTATTTCGATAGAAATCATTGAGAACGAGACCCAACCCACGGATGATGTTCAAGTCGGTGACGTGTGGTTAACTTTCGGAAAGTCCACCGACGTGGAGGGAACCCTCATGCTCGGGAAGGTCGTGAGAAGATTCAATCCGCTGGGCTTTGTGAGGAAACTGAAAAATAATAATTTCCTGTACCGGGAGGTTACGTTCGGTACGTGTTCGTTCTCTCTACGTGCTCGCCGGCATATTTTGACTTTGACTTGTCTCATTATACAGAATATGTAATCCCGCAAAATGAGGTGGAAAAGCCTTCTCCAGGTTCCGCTTCACTCACATTTGGTCAACGTGCCGACAAGATGAAGCAAGGACAAGTTGCGGGCGTTGACGTAAGCTTACCAATACGGTTGATTGTTCGATTCCTGGACCGGCAAACCGGGGATCTCATCCGATCGGTGGCCGTAGAGCACGACGTGCAGCTCAGATTTGAGACGCCGCATTTTACTCGGAGGCCGTTCGAAAATGAAGACGAGGGCCAGTGGTATATCGCCGATGTCGACTGTCTGCGACAGCAGGAACGGATAGAGGAGGAAGAGGAATGTCTGGAACTCGTTCCTGATCAATGAAAATTCCGATGACATGTGTGGCCAGGGGATGTGTGCTGCTATGCGCTATACATAATCAGACCGGGCGGACGTGGCCCTGTATTTAGATTTAAAGGATGCATGGACAAGATGCACATGCACAATCAAAATACAAGCTTTGGCACCAATGCAAGACAAACGGGTTTTCTCTGCCTCCCAATATAGCAGTCTGCATCCTGCACAGGACCAGATGTAGGAGCTGCGCTCAAACGTCACGCGTCGCGAGGAAGGCTCAAAGCCTCTTCGGGCCAAATTAGTCCCTTGATTGGATGAGGCTTGACGGGCAAGCCATGTGCTTCGGCTAATGAAGCTCTTGCAATGCGATGCTATAAAATAAGATGACCCAATCACCCGCTCATGTCCTCTCTGTGGGTCATTGCTGCAGAGAATCTATAACACACGCGTTGCACGCTATCTCGTAAATTCCACTAATGTCAGCTCAAGACATCCGCGCTTCAGCCAGTCGCCATCCCCTCCTCCGAGATCAAGAACTGTAGCAGCAGCAGCAATGCCAGTTCACTCTCGTTCTCGAGCGCAGCCGCGGAAGCCTTTGCACGCGGTCCACACTACCAGCCCCGCCGCGCGGCTCCATGGCATACCCGGTCACTACCGCCGAGGAAGACGATACCTTGACGGGTGCCTCTCCGCCGACTCGGAACCGAACGCTGAGCTTGTATGTGGTCCATGTCGACGACGTGAACAACTTTTAGATGTCGGGTAAAGCCCCTGCATGGTGGTCTCCACAGAAAGAAATTAGCGTTTGTGACCGTTATATCTGCGGTGACTCCCACAGTATCTGCTTTTATTTCAAGATCGTCCTTTCTTCCAAAAGATATACTTCTTATGCCCTTGCAAACATATCTACTTCAATGAATGAAAGCGGCAAAAGCCGATGCGTGTATGCCTGGATCCTTGGTAACATTCAATATATAGATTGCAGCGGATTTGGCTCACCAATGAATCCGCATTGGTCCAGTGGTCAGGATCCTACGCTTTCACCGTGGTGGCCAGGGTTCGATTCCCTGATGCGGAGTATTAATTTTGCTTTTACAGCCTCCACTCCAAGTTTGGAAGCGTTAGTGTGACTTGCGTCTGATTTCATTCAAAGTGATGACAATCCACAAATTCAATCACAGGGTTCTGGTTCCACCTCCTTTTCGGACGGTGTTTTCGAAAACGGACGGTGTTTCGAAAAGTTGACTTTCCGATCGCAAGCATTCTTTATTTACATTCATTGTTCTCTGCCCCTTTCTTGACTGACACTACTCGTATATCAGCCACGTTACCGACCTTGACGTCCCCTTGTCCCTGCACGGGAACTTGCACCTCAGTTTATACACGAGCGGCCGTTCCTGCAAATTTCGATCCCTAACCAGGCTCTTTGATACCCCAGCAGCTAGCATGTTTTCTGGTCTGCGTGCTCCAACCCTGTTTAGCCGCTTTGGCGGCTCAAACTCTGCCTTGCCGCAAGGTGCAGAGGTCCCTCCTCCCGTCCCAGATGGTAAGCCGTTGCCGGCCGCTCCTCCACCACCTCGCACAGGCATCCCGACTCCATCTCCTAGTCCGACATCTCCGATGGGTGCACCCCCTACTTCCTCTATACCAGCACCATCGGGATACTCACAATCACCAGCACGTTCTTTGAGACCACCGCTCACATCCGTTGGCAGCGCTACAACACCATCACGTAGCGTCTCTCAGCGAAATATTGCCGCTATAACCTCACCGCAGCAGACTACAGCAACACCGACACGCACAAACTCTTCAGCAACCATTAATGGCACGAGTAGTTCTGCCGGAGGCGACGCATGTCACGTCACAGTTCGCATGCGGCCCCTCACAGATACGGAAGAGTCTTCAAACCTCCCTACTGTTTGGGACATCTCGGATGAATACAACCGCGTAGGACTGTCAGTTGATTTTGCGGAAAGGAACCGCAAGCAAGCTGCGGAATACTTCTTTGACGCAGTCCAGGTTGGCAGCGACAACAGGGACCTGTATGAACAATCGGCCAAGGATGTGGTCAGAGCGGCAATGGAAGGCATCAACGGAACCGTATTTGCATATGGTCAGACCGCTTCCGGAAAGACATACTCCATGATGGGAATAGATGAGCAGCCTGGAGTCATACCGCAGGCTGTCGATGACATCTTCGGTTACATTCGCGAGCAGAGCGGGGATCGGGAATATCTTTTGCGTGTCTCGTACATGGAAATATAGTAAGTACAGCGAGTGGGGCCGGAGGATGGTCATCAGGTGAATGCTCACCATTCATTTGGTATTCCCGTCCCTCAGCAACGAAACCATCCGCGATCTTCTGTCCCCTGAGCAAGTCGACTTACGCATCCATGAAGACAGGAAACGCGGCGTCTTTGTAGCACCGTTAAAGGAAGAGATTGTCACAAGTCCCAAACAAGTAATGCGCATCATTCGAAAAGGCGAAGAAAATCGGCATTTTGGCGCGACCGATTACAACGAGCACTCAAGTCGAAGTCATACTATCTTTCAGCTGGTACACACCCTCATAGTGCGAAACTTCATATGTATGTTGGATTTTGTACTCATGGCTTCTGGAACTGATAGGTGGTTGAAAGCCGTGAACGTGGGCAGAGTGGAACTGCGAGTCCCAGAGTCGGCGGGTCCGGTTCAGTTCGAGGACGTGGCATGGTCATGATATCGCAATTGGTATGCCCCGCGCATCGCTTGCGTCCGCCCTTCATTCCAAAACTCATGTTTTCCTGTAGAATCTCATTGATCTAGCGGGGTCCGAGAAAGCGACCACTGATCAAGACCGAAGAAAGGAGGGGGCCTTCATAAACAAATCACTGCTGACGCTGGGAACCGTTATCTCCAAGTTAACAGATGGAAAAAGCAGCACCAGGCAAGCAATCGTCACCGTTGCCTTCCCGTGGTTGAAGCACTAAATTTGTTTCCCTGCCTTATCAGTTCGCACATACCTTACCGGGACTCAAAGTTGACACGGATATTGCAGGCTTCCCTTTCCGGCAACGCTAAAATATCGGTTATCTGCACTATCAGGTAAGGCGTGCTTCTGTCGCACGTCATGAGTGCAGAGCTGATTTCCGTTCTGCCAATAGTCCTGCCGGTCCCAACGCCGAGGAAACGCAGAACACGCTAAAGTTTGCATCGCGAGTGAAAAAAGTAACCGTGAATGCTCAAGCCAACAGGATCGTAGACGAGAAGGCGCTGTTGCAGAAATACAAGCAGGAGATTGATGAGTTGCGGCAGCAGCTGTCGACAACGAACGAGCTTCTGGAGAGAGAACGACGACAGCAGCAGATTGCCGGAATGGAAGGGGAAAGAAAGAAGTACGAGGAACAGCTCGTGGAGGGACAGATTGCGAGGACGGCTTTGAAGGAACGCATCGATCACTTAACCAACTTGATCCTGACAAGCAAGACCATTACGAGCAAACATCTGCTGGATTGGAGTGCGCCGCCAGATCCATTGGTAAGGGTAGTGTTTGAAAGGCACTTGTGGGATGGATTTCAGGCTCATGTCATGTGTCATTGTAGACAAGTCGCGCATCCGTCATGTTGGAAGACGGCCTTCTCCCTGCCAGTCCGAATCTCAATGGCAAACGTACTCCAAATTCAGGCCTTTCGAAGCAATTCTCTGACAAAGGTTTCCTCGACCGCCACATTCGTGAAATTGATGCTCGTGACGAGAAAATCCGGAACAGCAATCAGGAAATTCAGAACCTGAAAGCGCTTCTGATGCAGCTGAAGTCCAGTCGAGACGGTGAAGTGCTCAGCGCAATCGAGCAGTACGAGAAGACGAACGGGCAGAGCGTCAAAAGTATGCGTACCGTAGTTAGCGAACTTGACAACGCCAGGCGGCAAAATGACGAACTGGAAGTTGTGTGTGGTGAGATGGAAGACCGAATACGCGAATTTGAGGCTCGAGTGCGAGAACTTGAAGCCGGCGGGAAAAAGAACTCTATGGTGCACCGTGAGGATGTGGATGACCTGATTGATGAGAATCGGGCGTTGAAGTCAACCGTGAAAGGACTTCGTATTGAACTAGATCAACGCCGTTCTCAGGTCAGTTGTGCAGGGGGAGGGGAGGACGCTCAGCAGCAACAGCAACAGAAACAGCTATCTCAAACGATCTCCAGTCAACGAATTCAAATCGAATCTCTCACGAACGAAATTCGACAAAGTCAAAAAACAATAACAACGCTGCGAGACAGCATACGGATGCTCGAGCTCTCCAACGACATGTTTGTTCAGTCTGCTTCCCGCGCGCATTCACCTACCAACACCAATACCTCTGGCGGCTCTGGATACAATGGTAGCGCGGCAAACCATGCTGCGGACACGGAGCTTGCTTTAGATAGAGAACGCAAACTGAGATCGGAAGAAGGCCGCGCATCTGTGGAACGCATTGCGGCTTTAGAGGCGGAACTTGCTTGTGTGAGGGCGGAGCTGGGCGTCTTTGGTTTGGTTGGTGCTTTTGGCGCCATGGGCAATGGCACTAGTTCATGATATGGAACGGTCTCGAGACAACTTGTTATTTGTATATATGTGTGTATATGGTGTCCGTGTCTGGTGTTGAAAAAACACAATATGGTTTGTCGTGCGCGCTACAGAGCGAAACTGTCAATTGATTGCATAGCCACAAGCGCGCGCTCCTTCTCCGCAGCGTTGACGTTTGCGTGACGCGCGTTTCACAGAGGTGTGCTTGTACTTGTAGGTTGGCCATCGCTTGGCATCTCCCCAGATATAAAGCGGACGATGATTTCTCCTCCTTCTCACCTCGTTGTCCTTCTGCGTCCTCGTACGCACCCTTCTCCGCCTCCTCAGCTTCTACCGTCCGAAAAGCACCCGCCCAGCTTTCTCTTCCCAACAACACCCACAGCCCTCGAAGGGGCGCCGTCTATCACCGTTTTCGAAACCTTTTTTCTCTCTCTCCTCGAGTGTTTCTTAGGAGGTTTTGGTGATTGACGGAAGGGACCCACCTTCGACGGGCTTAACAGAAAGCCTCATCTCTCCCGCAACTTTACCCGATTGTGTGAAAGGAGCCCTGGTACACTTTTCTGTGTATATGGCCGTTCCTACTCGCACCAAACCAGAAGCCGCCACAGTCGCGCGTCGAATCTCCGCAAAAAGACAGCAAATCAAGAATAACAACCAACAACTACAACAACAACCACAAAATGACCAAAACAACGCCGAAACGCACTATGGCGTTCAGGTTATAAATGTGCCATCTCAGCCGTCTGTCGCTCAGACCACACGTACGCCTCACAATGTCGTCGGAAACCCAGCGGAACTGGATTTTCATTCTAATTCTGTCAAGCAATTCCACGCCACATGGGATCTCATCGAAAGCGGGGCTTATGGATCCACAATCCCCCTGTCAGATCTGAGCTTCAAGCATCAGCCCCATCATCAAAAGTCAGGGTCTACACAAAAGGACGATCCAATGATCGAGATCACGTTCAATGCTATCAAAGTCGCGGTGCCCGCGGAACACCCGATCACCTTGGAGAACCTTGGACTCAGCAGTAACCACCATCTTTTCATTGATGACGCGTTTGTGAAGACTACCCGTGAAGGAGAGACTCGTGTCACTGCCAAAGCGGGAATGAAGGTCGTCGCGGAACGATACCCGTCTATGCAGCCCGTGAACTGGTTGTACTGGATGTGGGGGAACTATGTGCCTGACAGGTAAATCAGTGCAAATGGGGACAAAGTTTATTCATGCACCGACGCTCATGCATTTGCAACTGTTGGGCTCCCACAGAAAACAGATTGCGCACGCCCTTCAGTCTCCCTGGGGTCGGACGCTCGTCAATGGATTCAATTCCCTTCTTCTGTCTCTTCTCGCACGACCCGGCATCAACCTATCTGCCCCACCGCCATCGCCCGCCCAGCTCATCCTGACCGTGATCTCCAGTGGCAAGATGCTCGACCTGATGCTCAAAGACACATTGCTCCGCCTGCTCACGGACGCGTCCCTCAATTTTGCGCACGTGCTTGTCTCCCTTGCAATCTGCGAATTGTGCTT